TTTAACTGCGCACCAAATGTGCCTTATGGTAGAATTTTCTTGGGTGGACGTGCAGTTGAAGAAACAAGAATCATAATGGTGGATCCAAGATTTCTAAAAAGTGATATCACTCTATAATTAATAGTTAAAAATCTAAGAAAACGCTAAATTATATACATAGAAAAACAACAATAACTCACCAAATGAGTAGAGGTAGGGGCGGTCGAAGCTAGATTCTCACAAAAGAAGAGGCGGAGGAGGAGAGGTTAGATGTGGAGGAGCAAGCCCTAAGCAGAGCATGGGGAAACTAAAAGAAGAAATTTACAAAATAGACCTATTTTGCTAAATATTTAGCAAAACAGACTGTTTTGCTAAATATTTAGCAAAACAGACTTCTTTTTTGTCAACAAGCCAAAAAGAGGTCGATTTTGCAAAACAAACTATTCGAAACATACGGGACTAATAGTCTCGTATGATTTAATGGGGCATTAAATCATACGAGACTACTAGTCTCGTATGTTTCGAATGGTATGTTTAAAAAAACCAACCTCTTTTTGGCCAACAGGCCAAAAAGATGTCTATTTTGCTAAATATTTAGCAAAACGGTCTGTTTTGCTAAATAGCAAAACGGTCTGTTTTGCTAAATATTTGTTTTGCTAAATAGCAAAACGGTCTGTTTTGCTAAATATTTAGCAAAATAAGTCTATTTTGTAAATTTTTCAAATTAAAAACTAGGGTTTTCCTATTAGTCCCCATATCTTTCATATTTCACAATTAGTCCCCAAATATTCTCTTCTTGAAATTAGTTCTCCAAATCTTAAAATCCTTTGAAATTAGTCTCCTAAATCTTTCAGAGTTTTGAAATTAGACCCTCTAGTTAACACTATGTTAAAAGATTTGGGGGCCTAATTTCAAAGCACTTATAATATTTAGGAGACCAATTTCAAAGGTTTGGAGAACGACATTCAAACACGTAACATGCTAAGGGTACTAATCTCAATCTATGAATATTTGGGGGACTAATTTTAAAATACTTAAAGACTTGTGGGACTTATTTTAGAGTATGAAAGGTTTGAGGGGCTAATACAAACCAAAAAAGTCCTAAAAACTAATCGTCACACATGTGGGAGAAGGTAAAAATTCAACGTCTAGCCTTCTAGGATCCTAACTTATGAGATTATAAGTTTTTAGTAGAGTGGCACTAGAGGCACACCCCAAACCACAACTCTAACAATACCCTCTCTCTCTCATTTGCTACAGTGTAAATAATCGAATCGAATCGAATACTAAAGTGTTCATATTTGTATTTGTTTAAAATTATCGAATTCGAATGCAGACTCTAATATTCATATATGGAGTTTTTCGAATTCGAACTCGAATACTTGGTATTTGATAAATATTCATGAATATTCACGAATACTTTTCGAATATCAAAGTATATTTATTCCGCTAAAGAATTTGATTTTCAAATGATATTTAAATTTATAAATAAAAAATATTCCTTTATAATAAGTAATGTATGTATATTTAAATCAAAATTTTCATTAGAAAATAAATTTAAGATCAGTTTAAGTCTTAAAATCAGTACATAAAACTTTAGTATAAATGGTAAATAGGTTAAAAATATGATGTCATATGTGAAATAATACAAATAATAAGTGATCAAATTTTAAACGAATATTTGATAGACAAACGAATCGAATATACATCTGGTTAAATTTTATTTGTTAGTAAACTCGAATACTAAAAAATATTTGTTTAGTGGTAAATGAACTACCGAATCGAATATGACCGAATAGTTACTCGAATAATTATCGAACTATTTGTTGATTATTTGGTTCACTTCCACCCCTAAGTACACCGGGCCCCACATGAGATTTTAAAATTTTAAAACCCTATGTGGAGCCCGGTACACTGTAACAATGAGAGAGTGTGTGTGGTTATAGTTGTGGTTGAGGGTGTGCCCCTATTATTTTTCTTTTTAGTACGGGTGAGAGTCTCGTTGGGCTGGGCTTTTGGTGGGGTCCTTAATACTAGTGGGAAAGTGTTTTCAGATGGGTGAGTTTTAGTAGGTTTTGTTGGGTTTTGTTGGAGTCTGGCTTTGGGGCATTTTTAGATTGAAGTGGATCTCTCGGGTCTCAAAGCGGGGTCACTGCCTTGTTGGTTGGGTAAGATAAAGATTGGTGGGCTTCGAATAGGAATAAGCCAGGGGTGCATTTGGTCCGGTTCCGACATCGGATATGATGTTTATTATATTTATATATGTTTACCCATCTCGGATACAGATATGGATACGGATATACATCGGTAAGAAAAATTTATAACCATATCCGCTAAAATCAGATACGATTACGAATATACATGCGGATATATAAGCGGATAAACATACGGATACAAAATAGATATGAGAAAAGTAGATAGTATTGAGAAAATATAGTTCGTGTGATATAAAAGAGTTCGTTAATATCTTCATTATAACTGAAAAGTTAAGATTAGACATCTTGATCATCAAAATTAATCACAAATGCATAATCTAAGAATCAAAACTATTATAAGAGTATGACTAATATGTATTCGGATATTTCGGATACTGATACAAATATTTCGCTACAAAACCATATCTGTAATCATATTCTATCGGTTATAGATTTGAGTAACCATATTTGTATCCTAACGGATATGGTTAATGATATTTCTTCGGATACGGATACAGTTTAGCACCCCTAGAATAAACTCATGGTCCCCTTTGAGCAAAGTAGAGTCAAGTGCTTAGAGTAGTTCCATCGTAAACCATATCCATAATCATATTCTATAAAATAAATTATTTTATAGAAAATAAATTATTTTAAAAAATAATATATTTTAGAAAAAATAATATATTTGAAAAATATATTATTTTTCAATCTTTTTTAAAGATAATACTTTCTGAAAAATATTATTTTATGATTAAAATAATATTTTATGAAAAATAATGTCTCTATTTTCCCAGAGTAAAAAAATTTTAAAAAATAATTGTTATAAAAAATTTATCTTATAAAACTATTTTTGAGATATTACTTTAAAAAAGAAATTTTTTAGGAAAGTTATTTTTAAATAATTTATTTTTAAAATCTTTTCAAAGAAATTTTTATAATAATACTTTTTGAAAGATTATTTTAAATCTTTAATGAATTTTATTTTTTTGGAATATTAAGTAATGATTTTAATTTTTAAATAAATTTGAATCGGTTAGTTTTTTTTTTTGACTGAAAATAGGGTCTTTTACCCTATCATATATATATATATATATATATATATATCAACTAAAAAGGGAGCTATTACAAAAGATATCCAATTGTGATTTGGCCAATGACTCCGAGCTGGAGGAGTGAAACCAAATCACCAAAAAATGTCTCTGAGTGAAAATACAAACTGATAAAACAAAGAAAACGAGCCAAAGCAAAAGAAGTCAGCGAGCTAGGACCAGACATCCTCTCGGTCCCCTGGGAACAAAATCTTCAAATCCCCAAAACCAGAAACCAGAACAGTGCAATGCCACTACCCCCGCGACCCCCGCGAGTCTGGTAAACCATTGCTACCTGAGCTTGACTCAGCAATATCCGGAAGGCCCGAGCTGTGAATGAGCTTTCTCAGCTTGATAGCTTTCTTAGAGGAGGAGGCCCCTGTCCATAAAAGAAAAAAGTGAACAGCCTTGATGATGATAAGCTGAGGTGAGGAAGACACCATTTTTTACGTAAATCGGTTAGTTAAAACTAAGTTGCGACACCATTTTTTACGTTAATCATATGTTGTAACTAAGGGTTGTTTTGTAACTATGGTTGCAACTGTAACTGTGAGTTGCAAGAAAGCAAACACTTGTAACTAGACAAATTTGACCCAGTTGCATGCAACTGGAGTTGCAGCCACTCCAGTTGTAAGCTACCAAACGCCCCCTAAATCTCCTCTGTCTCCTTAGGACGATCGATCATCTTGACAATAGAAAATTACCAAGAAGAATAATATTTCAACACAATTAATCAAAAGAAAAGTAAATATGACGCAAATGCATGAATTTTATGTGGTTAGGCAATCATCTATGTCCACAGAAATGGATTTTAGTTTTCTTTATTCTAGGAATTATATAAGCTCTCGTCTTTTTTACATTTTTGAAGAAACAGCAAGAAATTAACCCTCTCAATCTGAACAGAGATCCTCACATAAACCTAAATTTCTATCATTTTTGGCTCATCAAGCAACCCTAAATTTGAAAGACCTCTGCACAGTTAAACTCGAATACAATACCAAGCGAGGACTTCTGACCCCAAACTCTTGTTCTTCGTTGCCAGCATTATTAAGCCCATGTTTAGTTAACTGCCGAAATGGGGGACTCTGGTTGGTGTATCAGCAGCCGTAACTACCATTTTGACCGTTGAAAGTATGAACCAAATTACGATTACTTGTGAGACACGTCTTGATTATGTTGGAGGGCTGTTAAGATTGGCGAGACTACTACAATCTTATAATAATGCTATTATTTATTTTACTTGGAACAACCCCAATTAAGCGCTCTTTTATTTAACCAATTTATCACTCGACGTCCTCAACTAGTCAAATGCTACTTGGGTTCTTATCCTATCCTAACGAAGCTTAAGGAAATCATGGCTCCAAGTTCAAAAAAAAAAAAAAAAAAAAAACCAAATCTTATCAAAGGCCTTCTCAAGGAAGTGAAAGCGAAATTTTAAAAAGATAATTCCCATCAAGCACGTGTTTGATACCCTATAAAGTGAAGGATTTAAAAACCTCCACACGTGAAGCACGAAAGTCTGTTTAAAATACCGTCTCTGGGATTGGTTTCATCTTCTCTTTAGTCGCATGCTTTCCTCCTCTTCCAATTCCTTTTCGTTCTCATCTTTTATCATCATCTTTTTACCGTACTTTCTCCTTACAGAGTTTTGATCACTCATTTCCTGTTATGAATAGTATTTAATTACATCATTAGAGATCTGTAGACTCTGCAACAAGTCAAGCAAAATGCAGCAGCAATGGAAACAGAGACAAGAAGTTTTGAGGCTCATCAGTCATCACACAACAAAGTCCAACCAAAATCTAGCATCATATATAAAACTCCTAAAACTTCATATTGAGAACCTTTCCAAGGGGCACATAATTGAAAACCTTGCCTTCTTGCAAAGAAACAGTCCTATGCTTATATGCTGCAGCTTTCTCATGCCCAATACTTCTCCTTCCAGATTTCTCTTCTACTATTTCCGAACCTTCCCTTCTCTTTTTTTGCTGATCTCTCCATCTCCTCAGCTGCCCTTCAACCGCCAATTTAGCCTTCTCAGCCATCTCTGCCCTTCTGTTAGCTTCCTCTAGAGCGAACTTCAGGTCGCCAATCTCAGAATTAGCAGCATCGAGTTTTGAACTTCTCTCATCTGCCATCTTAGACTTCTGTATCAAAGTTTCATATTCCTCAATAGAAATTGTTATACCATAACACATTTCAAGTTTCATTGTTTCTGCTTCCTCCTTAGCCGCCTCTGCTTCCAGTGCCAGCTGTATCTGTGAACTCATAGCTCGTGCTTCTGCTGCCTCCGCAGCAGCGATTCTTGACCTGTTCTTGTGGATTTCGGATTTCAAAGTTGCAATCTCTATCTGCAGAGCCAACTCTCTTTCGTTGCTTTCAGATATCTCAGTTTCCATACTTGTAGTGAGCAACTCCTTTGTTTGGATTAGTTCTAACTGGTAGTAGTCAGATAAGATAGTTTTCTCCAGCAGCTCATTTCTTAAATCCTCGACTATACGCAATTGCATTCTCATCTGTACTAATTGCTCGTGAGATTGAATAACTGCTTTTGTCGTAGCTTGCAGCTCTTCCTCCACTGCTTCAAAGAAAGTGATCCTTACTTTCTCTGCTTTGATTGTTTCCAGCTCAGATTCAAGAATTGCCTTGTTGAGCTCTGATACTTGGGCCAAAAGCTCCTTGTTCTTCTCTTTCTCTACACTTACAGCTTTCGCAGCTAATTCCTTCGATTCTTTGGCAGCAATGAGTTCAGCTTTTAACCGCAGCAACTCTTCTTTCGTATGTTTCAACTCGTCTATAGTCTGCAGGAGTCTCTCAAAGTTATCAGTAGAATCAACAAGTTGATCTACAACCACTTCATATTCAGATTCAAGCATAGATATGAATGATTGAGATTTCTTTAACTCCTCCATGTATCTATCTCTGTCAGCTTCTGAAAGCTTGAATTTGGAAGATAGCTCGGTGAGTGTTCTCTGATAAACGTCAAGCTTGACAACAGCCTGCATGTAGGCAGACTCCTTAATTTCTAACTGCACTTTGCAATTTCCCAAGTTCTTCATTAGCAGGCCTACGTCTTTCTCAGGTTCCTGTCCATCAAAAGCCAACAAAAATAATTTACAGGATATTTGATATGGATTTAAAAGTAATGAATGAAGTCTGAACATCATTTTACTTCACGACTGTTTATAGTACTGCAATCTTGTTGGTCTTTTATCTGCTCAAACAAGGATAGGGCGGCCTTTACAGACTCAATCGGCTTTTTGTCATCTATTTCTGCCATTTAATCCTCTTGATCAATATCTGACTGACTAGTGTAAATTGGTCTTTGTATGTTAATGCTTGAAGCAAATACATTCTGCAGGTAGTTATTAGTGTTTTCAATGCGCGAGGCGCAATGCGGGGCGCAAAGTCAGTTTACACGCATATGCGCAAGGCGCAATGCGATGCGCGCGCCCGAGCGAAGCGAGGCGCACTCCATACTACAAAATTTTTGAAGATATACTATATGCATGAATAAATATATATTTTTGTGAAATTTCACATAAAAATGTCAAGGACTCCAGATAAATAAAATATATACTAATTACTAACAAATCATTCAATCATGCAAATTATTCAAACTTTTATCTCTAGTATATTGCATCACTAACAACTATATTGCTAAATTTTATTTTCCTCTTTCCAGGTTACAAATGGCGAATCAAGTTTCAAGTTTCAACCAGTAGCACTACACCTAGCTCAAATAGCAAGAATAAATACTAGCAGTCTCGCACAAGAAATCAAATAGTAGCTGTAAAATTAGTACTACATCAATAAGCTTGAAAATTTTCAACATTTATGGCTGATATGTATTAATAAGAAGCAAGCAATTAGTTCATAATATCATGACTTTGCATTTTGATATTAAGCCAAAGAAAAAAAACAGTTAATAGTCAAGAGCGATAATAATAAATTAAATTAAATTAAAATTTAACAGCTAGGAAGGCTATGTTAGTTAACATTAAATCTCTCTTTATAAGTTAGTTAACAATAAAATCAAATGATTCAAATCAAGTTTAGAAGAGTGAACTTAATAAACATTTTACACTTAACAACTAAAAACTCAGATTTTAAATCAGAAAAGAAAAAAGAAAACACCTCGCTGTCCTTACTCCTTAATTAAGAGAACGCAAAAAGAAAAAAAAAAGAAAAGAAAAAAACAACGCTGAGAGCAGAGAAAGAGAACGCAAAAACAAAAAGAAAAAAAAGAAAGAAAGAAAAGAAAAAAACATCGGGAAGGAGCAGAGAAAGAGAACACAAAAACGAAAGAGAACTCAAAAACGAAAAAAAGAAAAAAAACATCGGGCCTGAGACGTTGAACAGACCTTATCGCTGAGAAGAAAAGAAAAGAAAAAAAGAAAACGCAAAAATGAAAAAAAAAGAAAAGGAGCAGAAAATCATCGCTGAGAGAGAAGAAAATGCACCTGTTTGCTGCTCGCTGTCGCCGCTCGCCGCTAGCCATCGTCAGTCGCCTTTAGCAGTCGCCCGTCGCCGCATGCTGCTGTCGAGTGGGGAATCAAGTCGAGCGAAGAAATCGGGATTCAGGAGTGGGAGAAGGATGCGCCGAAGTGCCTCGCGCCCGAGGCGCGCGCCTGGGAGCGCCTTTAAAAACACTGATGGCAAGCATGTAAAAGCCTCCACAATGGCAATACTGTCGAATTTCAAATTTCAAAAACTAGTTACCCTTTTTGGCATGCATCAGATTGTTATGTAGGACTATCACAGGTGGCAAAAGTCCAAAATATAACTTTTACCAACTATGAACAAGACTTTTACTAAAGCACAAGTATACAAACACACACATGGAAACCTAAAAGACACTCCACACTAGCACTCACAAAGGAGAGCACTGTAAATACAAGGACACACTCTTCTCTCACTAGACACTTAAGAACTTAAGACTTCGTTTTGTGACGGTTTCAATTGGAGACGCATGTCCTCTATTTAGTACAATAATGACTAATGAAACTTCTAGAAGTAAAGAAATACATGAGAGAAGAAACCAAGAGAACAATCTAGGTGAGGTAAGAAGGGAGGGAGAAAGATCCTTAAAGAGGGAGAGACTTGGAGAATCTTCTAGAAGAACTCTAGGAAGAAGGGAGAGAGTTGGAGAATCTTTTCAAAGAATTCCCTGGGGGCAGCAGTGAATCTCTTAACACTTCCCCTCAGCGCTGACCCTGCTTGATTTTGCTACCATCCCAAGTTGCTCTTAAAATTCTTCAAACTTGGAAGAATTCAAACTCCTTGAGAGGATGACAGCAACGTGGTCGTGAGTATTGATTGGCTGCATCTCGATCTCTCCTTGTAGCACTTTCTCTTTGATGTAATGATGATGTACCTACACATGCTTCGTCCTTACATGAAACACTGGATTCTCCAGGTATAGCTGATGGTTATCACCTATGAAGCACGGACACGGACACGGCGACACGGACACGACAAAACCCAAAAAATAGGACACAGCGACACGGTTAGATTTTTTTAATATTATTATTATATATAGATCAATATTGAATTAAATTCCTATTACATTTTCATATTTTTTGTTATGTAAAGGGGGATTATAAATAAGAAACTAAAGGAAAGTGTGTGTTGTAGGTGTGAATTAAGACGTCGGGATGACAATGATCTCTTGGAGAATTGAAGACAATAATGTTAAAGAAGACAAGAAAGAGAAGATGAACATATAGAAAAATAGATCAATTTTTTATGTTATATTATTATATAACATTGGCTTGTATAATCAATGACAAATGTAAGTTATGTAACTGATTTGAAGATAATACCAAACTTTAATTTTCATTACTTTCATCTGGAGCATATCAAAATACAAGAGAATAAAGTTCAAGTTGTAACTAGTTCTATGGCTACAAAATACTAAGTTACTAACATTACAAAAATTACAACCAAAAGTGTATCTTAAAAATAAAATTCTCAAGTTAAAACATCAAAAGATCATTCTATGGTTTCAACTCCTTCATCCTCCCCAAACACAACGGCCTCCATCATGGGCTCATCAAGAGAAAGGACGGCAACATCTAAAATACTGGCACCTTGAAATGAGTCAAAGGCATCTCCACCAACATCCCACATTCTTGATTTCCCTTTCATATACTCTTCTGAACTTCGAGAAAGTAAGCGAAGGTTAGTGTGAACATAAACAAGATCATCCGCACGTGCCGGAGTTAGCTTGTTCCTCTTTAAGGAGTGAATGAAACTATACGTACTCCAATTCCGTTCACAACAAGAAGAGGAACAAGGTTGGCCTAAAAGCTTTACGGCCAATGATTGCAAATTTGGAGTACTTACACCATAAAGAAGCCACCATGACTTAGGATCCATATGTGCTCTATCGGAAAGAGAATCCGGATCACTAAAAGCCTCCAAAGCCCCCACAAACTTAGCATATTCCAAGTTCACCGCCCGTCGTTCATCGGGGTTAGGATAATATCTTCATAAGCACTTTGCTCTTTCCGTAGAGATCTCAAGATCTTGATTTGGAGCTTGCCGATTGACGTTCTCATTGAGCCATGTGGAATGATAGTACCTATGTTCGTTAAACATGAATTAGCCCACAAGGTATTAAGTAATAGAAATATTCGCATTAAAAAGTGAAATGTAAAATATTACCTTGGAACTAAAGAGTATGCCAAGCACTGAAGCGAGGTATTGCTATTGTTCCATCGATCCACCAAGATTTTGTAAACCACCTCATAAAAAGGAGATTCCTCGTTATCCTTTTTATCCTCATGCTTATAAATAGCTTGCTTCACTTTCTCAATCATTGTATCCCACATATCATACACCAAATAAAGACATGGTGTATCGATATTGGTGACGCTTATCATTTCATAGATTGAGCCAGTGAAGTCAAGAATAAAATATATATTGTCCCACCACAAATCATTAAGGACTTCTCTTTCACAAATTGCGCTTTTCCCACATCATCTTCTCTATACAAGCTCCATCGATCACTAAGAACCATGTCTTGGAGACCTCTCTTGACGACTTTAAACCTCTTCAACATAATAATCCACGAGACAAATCTTGTGTCGGCAATCGATAGGAGCTTCATCTTGGAATAATCATTAAACATGGAAAGCCGCATAGAGTGATTCATGATAAAATTCTTTATAAACAATGCATCATCGGAGATCTCTGTAATCCAATGTAATTGTGCATAAGCTACGGAATTTGTTTCCGTGTTCTTAGCCGTACAAATATTCTTGATAGCAAGATTGAGTGTATGGACTACACAAGGAGTCCAAAATATGTGAGGTCAGGTGTCCTCCACAAGCCCTCCCGCATCCTTGCATTTCGAAGCATTATCGGTTATGATTTTGATGACATTTTTAGGTCCCACTTCTGTGATGCACTTTTCTAGCTGTTTTTGGATAAAATACTTATTCTTGACTTCTCCCTCGGCATTCACGACATTTAAGAACATTGGCTTACCCTCACATACCGTCATAAAATTGATGATGGGCCACTTTTGTGCATCCGTCCACCCATCACTACAAATGGGGACCCCCTTCTGTTGCCATGTACCCCTGATGGGCTCCATCAATCTCTCTACGTGAGTTTTCTCACGTTATAAGATAGTGGTCCTCATGGAATTGTAACCGGAAGACTTGTAGCCAGAGATTAGATTGCTTGCGGCATATACAAAAACCTTGGCATAATATGAATTCCTTGTCAAGTTAAAGGACAATCCCCCGGTGTAGAATATCATATCAATCAATGCATCCAATTCTTCCCTTACTCCCATATAAAATGCTTGTTCCACGATATTAGACCCTCTCCTCCTCTTAGATTCACCTGCACTAATCGGTATGCTTGCACTTGCACCTATACCGGTCGTACTTGCAGTCGAAGATATAGGCAAAATTGGCATCTTAGGCTTAGAAGCCATCAACCTCGCCTCCGCTTGATCCACCGTCCTCTGAAACTCCCTTAGGTTTTCGGGTGTTGACTTGGAACACATCTTAATTCCAGTCCTGCTTATCCTCAAGAGGTGATTTTTAACTCTCGAGTGTGAACCAGTAAAATCCTCTCTACAATAATTACATCTCCATCTCTAATTTCTCCTGTCGTTCCCCCCTTTTCTCCAATTTGGTAACATATTTTCAAAGCGGATATTTGTCATCTTGTACTCCACTACCACCAGAACTCCCGTCTTGTTCCATTTCTGTAAAATATAATAGTAATAACAATAAATTAAAAAATTAATAATAGTAAAACAATAACTAAAATCATAATTAATAGTAAATTAAAAAATA